TGAGAGCCGAGACAGACGACGGAGGGAAACAAGGGTCGGTGACAAGAGTGGTGAGGACACGTGCGGCAACAGGACGAACAGCGCGGTAGTAGTCAGAGATAGGAGTGGGGAGGGCAGGTAGAGAGGACGGAGGAGGAGACGGGAGAACGGACACAGGAGAAGGAGAACGACGACGAGACGAACAAAGGAGGGCAGTGTGGAGGTCAGTAACAGGGGACGAGTGACGAGCACGCGGAGGACAACGAGTGATCAAGTCGCGACGGACAGAGGGAGGAGGAGACTGAGGAGGAGGAGAAGACCAGACCGCCGGACGGTCGTCAGGAGGAGGCAACGGAGGAACAAACACAGGAGGAGACTGGGAGCGGACAGGAGGAGAGGAGGAAAGGCCAAGGGCCCGCAAGCCACTCACAGGTGGGAACAACCGCCGCTCTAGAGGAAGCTGCGGTGGCGGCTGCGGCCGCTGCGGCTGCGGCTGCGGCTGCTGCTGCTGCTGCGGCTGTGGCTGCGGCTGCGGCTGCGGCTGCTGCTGCTGCTGCTGCTGCTGCTGCTGCTGCTGCTGCCGCTGCTGCTCCAGAAGGTCCAGCACCCGCAGCTCCTGCCGCTCCCTCTCCAACCGCTCCTGCTCCTCACGCTCACGCCGACGGGCAGCCTGGAGACGCGTGTCGTGGCGGTGGGGGGGCGGGGTGGACTCCGCAGAACCAGGGTCTCCAGCGTCAGTCTCCTCAGACTCAGCACCCCCAGAACCAGTACCGCCAGTGCTAGGACCTCCAACTCCAGCACCCCCAGAACTAGCACCGCTAGTGCCAGCACCCCCAACTCCAGCACCCCCAGAACCAGCACCTCCAGTGCCGGCACCTCCAGCTCCAGCACCCCCAGAGCTAGCGCCACCTGCGCCAGCACCTCCAGCTCCAGCACCCCCAGAGCTAGCGTCACCTGCGCCAGCACCTCCAGCTCCAGTACCCCGCGACCGAGCACCCCCAGACCGAGCACCGCCAGCGGCTGCACCTCCAGCTCCAACACCAACCGAGTCCACAGTAACCTGTCGCGGAAGTGCCGAAGGCTGCTGAGGGGACTGTGAGGAGGACTGCGGGGAGGGAGACGCTACCTGACGCGCGACCGAGGGGAGAGGGGTAGCGTGGGACACACCAGACGGGGCAGGACCAGGGGGGGGCGGGGGTACCGGAGGAGCGGGAGCAGGAGGAGGAGAGGGTGCGAGGAAGAGAGGGGGAGGGGGTACCGGGAGACCTCGACAGGGGTACCGGGTGTAGTAGGACACGGACTCGTCAAACCGGACGTCACGGGAATCTAGGAACTGGTGGAGGGGAGGGTGGTAAAAGGACCAGTCAGCAGAGTCCACTGGGAAACCAAGGAAGACACAGGGGACGGCGCGTGCCGAGAGCTTGTCCGCGGAGGTGTCGCGAACAAGTGCAAGGCAGCCCCAGACTCGAAAGGCCGACCCAACACCAGGGGATCCAGTCCAGAGACTGGTCGGTGAAGCCTCGGGCCGCGAGACACGCGGCTGGAGGTTCAGCTGGTGTGCGGCGTAGCGAACCGCGTGAGGCCACAGAAAATGGGGCGCACGGGCATGAATCATGGACGTGCGGGCGATGTCCATGACCAAGCCTATGCGGCGCTCAGCAACCCCATTCTGCTGTGGGGACTCTGGCAGCGTCCAGGACTGGGTGATGCCCTGTTCGCCGCAGAATCAGCCGAGAATGCCGGAGCGAAACTCGCCCCCACGGTCGGAGTGAAGACAACTGACTCGACGACCACGAGTGCCCTCAGTGGCTAGAAGCCACCTGATCAGCGTAGCAGTCACCTCGGACTTCTTCGCAAGAGGAAACACTGTGGTGTACCTGGAGAAGTCGTCGACGACCACCAGAAAGTAGCGCTCCCTCCCAGACCCCTGCGTCGGGGCAGGGCCCCAGACGTCCAAGTGGAGAGTCTCGAAGGGAGCGGTGGCCGGACGAAGGGAGGAGGAGTGGGGAGTGGCACGTAAGCGACCGGCGACGCACGGAGAGCAAGGAGGGGCAAGCGAGGGAGGGAGCGACGGGAAGGTGCGTGGGAGACCTGTGACTAGTCCCTGACTGAGCATGCCACGAAGGCGAGGGATCGACGGGTGGCCAAGACGGTGGTGCCACAGGACGGTGCGGTGGGCGAGAGAGCGACAGGAGCAAGACGCAGCGACTGGACTGGACACAGCGACCGGACTGGACACAGCCACCTGACCGGACTCTGCTACCGGGGGGGGACGAAGCAACCTGACCAGACGCAGCTACCTGCGGGGGCGGAGTGTGCAGGACGAAGAGACCTGAGTGGGGCTCTCTGGTGAACGTGGCAAGAACTGCCCCGGTGGAAGAGTCCGTACAGATCGCAGTCCTCCCGTGCGCAGGAAAAGTGACTGTGATCCCCCGGTCCTGAAGGTATCCAACACCCACCAAGTTCCGAGAGAACGAGGGGATGTAGAGACCAGTGAGGAAACCAGAGGGGACAGCCGGGCACGGGAGGGTGGTCGAGCTACGAGCAACTGCTGGTCCTGAAGTAGGATCAGCCAGGGCAACTGGGACTGGAGCCGAAAGAGGTGTGACAGTGGTGTGGTCGCGGAAGAAACACTGAGACGCGCCGGAGTCCAGCGTGAAGGAGAGCGACGCAACAGCAGTCGTCACGGCTGGGCTAGTGACTACACAAGCACCTACACTAAAAGCACAAGTACCGACACTAGCAACAGGCAAAGGTCCTAAGCTAGGTACACGTAAGCCAAGAGATCCGTACGTGACAGAATAAACAGCATCCATAGACATATCAAACACAGGGAAACCACTACGAAACAGACCGGGCCAGATCGGGGGAGCCGACTCAGGCCCAAAACGCTCACGGTAAAGGTCGTCGAGGCGGCTGTAGCAGCGCTGTGCAGAGTGGTCAGGACGCCAGCAGGTAGTGCCAGCACCAGGGCCGGTCAGGATCCGGTACTGGCAGGGGCCGATGTCGCGGCCACCGCGACGAGCCCCCCAGCTGGCTGGGCCGCTGCTGCAGCCAACGCGACCTGAACCACCAGGCCCCCATGGCTGCTGAGGGCGCCACAGCTGCTGAGGGCGCCCCTGCCGCTGCGGAAGCCACTGCTGAAAAGGCCGCTGCTGCTGTCCCTGCTGCTGGAGAACCCTAGCGGACTCCATGATAAAAGCTAGCGGGGTGCAGGAGCGGCAGGCTAGGAGCGACAGGAGCGACAGGCTGCTGTGAAAAACGAGAACAACTAGGAGCGCAAGGTGAAACCAGGCGAGTAACTGCTGGAGCACGGAGCGAACTAAGCTAGGAGCGCCAGGTGAAACCAGGCGAGTAACTGCTGGAGCACGGAGCGAACTAAGCTAGGAGCGCCAGGTGAAACTAGGCGAGGAACGGCTGGAGCACGGAGCAAACTGAGCTAGAAGCGCCAGGTGAAACTAGGCGAGGAACGGCCAGAGCACGGAGCAAACTGAGCTACGAGCGAGGAGCGAGAACGGCTGGAGCGAGAACGGCTGGAGCTAGAAGCGGCGAGCTAGGGCTGGCTGGAGGTAGGAACGGCCGGGGCTAGAGACCGTAAGTGCGGCTGTCGGCTGCCGCTAGTAGAGCCACTGGCAGTGGAAAGTACGTGCGACAGTAGGGGCTGCAGTACTGACGGCTGCGGGATGTAGGCAACTGTGCAGGTCGTCCGGCAAGCAGGAACGCGGGCGACAGTCGCAGGCCCCCACTGTGAACCCCTTTTTTTTTTTTTAGGGTTTAATTTATTTATTTATTTTCTGGCACTAAAGCACCCCGGGGCGCGCTGCCTGCAGGGTGTGCTGCCTGCGGGGCGCGCTACCCGCGGGGCGCGCCTCCTGCGGGGCGCGCTACCCGCGGGGCGCGCTACCCGCGTGGCGCGCTGCCTGCGGGGCTGGGGTGACGAGCCAGGGAGGGCGCCTGGGCGACGGGCTAGGACGGGCGCCTGGGCGACGGGCTAGGACGGGCGCCTGGGCGACGGGCTAGGGCGCAGGCCTGGGCGACGGGCTAGGACGGGCGCCTGGGCGACGGGCTAGGGCGCAGGCCTGGGCGACGGGCTAGGGCGGGCGCCTGGGCGACGGGCTGGGGCGGGCGCCTGGGCGACGGGCTGGGGCGGGCGCCTGGGCGACGGGCTGGGGCGGGCGCCTGGGCGACGGGCTGGGGCGGGCGCCTGGGCGACGGGCTGGGGCGGGCGCCTGGGCGACGGGCTGGGGCGGGCGCCTGGGCGACGGGCTGGGGCGGGCGCCTGGGCGACGGGCTAGGGCGGGCGCCTGGGCGACGGGCTAGGGCGGGCGCCTGGGCGACGGGCTAGGGCGGGCGCCTGGGCGACGGGCTAGGGCGTGGGCCTGGGCGACGGGCTAGGGGCGCAGGCTAGGGGCGCGGAGGGCGCTAACGCGCGGAGGAGGAGGGCGCTAAGGCGCGGAGATGGCGCGGAGGGCGCGGTGGCTAAGGCGCGGAGGGCGCGGAGGGCGCGGAGGGTGCTAGGGCGCAAGGGCGCGGAGGGCGCGGAGGGCGCGGAGTGTGCTAGGGCGCAAGGGCGCGGAGGGCGCTAGGGCGCGAGCTAGGCTAGGCTAGGCGAGAGGATCGACACCTACTCATGATACCATCTCAAAGTTAGCGAACAACGGAATGATTGGAATAGAAACGAATGGGGTACAAATGAGCAACCTTAGAAGCTGTACCCCCTAGAGTGCAACTCACTATAGCCTATCATATCAATGTTCAACATTTGACACTTTCCGTCAAATTAGTCAGACCAGAGCACATCAGTGTGCAGCCGCAGGCGCCATCCTCACATAGGATTTGTTGCCTTGACCAGCACCTAGAAGGGTGAAATGCAAAAATGCAACACAAAAAGGTCTGGACACCGTAAAGCCACGAGGAGGAAGATAATTGCAACGAATGTGCACATATTGAGTGTAGATGAAACGCATCATCATTTCTTAAGCAACGAACGGGAGAAACATGCCACTTCAGAACTACGGTACCTCGTTGATCCGAGAAAGACGAGCATTCTGCTCGCGTCGAATAGGTGCAACGCTTACGTCGGGCTGCAGGATAAATTCAGGGGAATAATAGATACACAAGGTCATCAATTTTGCATGTGTTGGGGGGTGCTGCACTGAGCAAAATAACTGCAATGGCAGAGCAGTTTCAGCACCACAGATCTCATCCCACCTGGATGCTTGCCAAAGCCACTGCTGCCCGGGTCATTCTCGCCTGCAGCTTCTCTCCCTCTTTCTCCCCAACCCTTTCTCCTTCTGCGCTGCTGTCATTATTCTGCACCTCTGTGCCTTCTAGTGCAGCTTCTCCCAAGCCTTCAACCAGCCTCTGGAATGGTGTTCAAGGAGCGCAAATGTGTGAGTAAACTAGAAACATGCAAGTAAAAGAGCCCTATGCATTCATCGAGGGCCATTGCATGACAGGGCCTGCACGAGCACTAATAGCTGCCCTGGAAGCACGCAGAGTGAGCTGTGGAACGTACAGATGCTTGTGAGATTGGCGCTGCTGCTGTGTGCTGGGATGTCCGTGCGCTTGCTGCTGCCCGCCAGGCTCTTACATCCTCCTCCAGTTCATCTATCTTCACGCAGCACAGCACGGCACATGTCCATTTCACATCAGCATCACGCGACTGTCACACCGTGGATGAGTAAGAAAGCAGTAAAATGCCAGGTTCAAAACGAGGCAGGCGGAAACGAACAGAAGAACAAGGGCCACTCCCATGCATCCATTCATCTTTAGTACGATACTGATCCTGTGATTGGCCTACAGCCACACAGCTTTGCTCTTCCCGGCTCCCTAGCCGCCACCTATCTGACCTCTTTCTTGAGCAGCAGTGCTTGGCCGTACGGCGTCAATCGCGGATCACACCATCCAGGCGACCCCACGGCCTGGCCCTGCACAGCGTGCCTGTCCACCCCGCCATCCAATAATGCCCCGGCCGCTCCTGCTGTGTCGCCACACGGCACACCCATTCGACTCCCCTGCTTCATGTCAGCATTGCCCTCTCGCCTTTCGCCCCGTGTGCCCGCTGCTGCAGCTACAGCGCCCCTCCCGTTATCCTGCCCTCCACTGCGTCCGCCACCGCAGCCACTTACATCCCCTGCTGCCGGGCCCACCACTGCAAGCCGCGCCTCTGCCGCCGCTGCTCGCTGCTGCCGCCGTTCCTCCTCCGTCGCCGCTCTGCCCGCCACCCTGCTACGCTGGCCCGCGCGGGGCTGGCCTCGAGGCACTGCAGGGAGGGGCAACACGGCCTCAATATTCGAGGGCATGCCGGGGGAAACGTTGTTCCAGCAAGCAACAACGCAGAAGTGGCGCGCACACGTTTCCCGATGGCGGGCTGAAAGCGAGTGACGGACAAGGACGCGAGGAGGACGGAGGGCCGCGAGGGGTGATGGGGTGGCACGGAGTGGGAAGTGCAGGGCGAGAGCGTGGAGACGCAGGCAGCAGGCGGGCTGTCAACGCGAGCCACGCAAATGAGGCCCACGGGCGAGGCTCACCGTTTTTGCGGCGCAGCGAGCGCAAGAGGTGCGCGGCAGCGAGAATGCTGGCGGAAGCGGCGACCATGAGCGCGACGGGCAAGCGACGCGGAGCCGCCTTGTCGTCGAACGCCGCCATCGACAGGGCCGTGTGCGACGGAGGGGCACGCTGAGACCGTACTGCAGTGGCCACGCAGCACGATCGCACGGGCGCTAACAGCTCTGCAACACGCCACCTCTTTCCAGAACCTAGGCACGTGAAGGAGAGCTCCACGTGGGGCCTTGACCTTGAATTCCTTTTCTGATATCTGGCGTCACGACGAAGTTGAGGATGAAAATATATTATGATACAGATTGTTTCACAATACACGCTAAATTGCAATAAGTACACGAACAGCAATTTTGGGATGGGTTCACAGAAGTACGATATATAATAACGCGTTTCGATACAAATGAACAGTTTGTGGAGGTACAAACATCACGTCGCAAGCAGATGGGGTGGATGAGCCCTATGTTTAGCTGCGCTGATCCGTTGGAGCGTGATCAGTTTCTTTCCACCTCTCATGCATGCCCAACCACTGCACTCATGTCCAACCTCGCATCGCCTTCCATCCGCAAGCTCGCCGCCACCACATGTCGGCCGGCCGCAGTGGCCGTGGGCACCCACTCACGACGTCTGCACTCTGCTCCCGTTCTTCCCACGTCGTCTTGCCCCGCCTTACCTCCTCCTCCTAACACATCTCGTTGCGCTGCTTCTTCCGCTTCCCGCGCAAATGCATGCACTGCGCACGCGCGTACCTCCCCGCTCGACTGCGCGCCCGCTTCCCTCCGGAGCGCTGCGCTGTCGCCCCTTGCATGGGGTCAGAAGGACGAGGGGGCGCGGCGGCAGCTGCACGGTGGAGGGCGGATCGTCGAGTGGCGAGGAGCGGAGCAATGCGGGCGAGGGGACGGCGAGTGGCAGTGCGAGGTCGGGGCGGTGGGGAGAAGGAGGGCGCTGGCGGCAGGCGCAGGCGTGGCGGTGGGCGCGTGGGGCAGCGCGTGTGTAGCAGGCGGGCAACGCGAAGGTTTAGCGGAGGGGGTTTTGGGTCCGCTACCGGAGACGATTCATGCGAGCATCGACGCGCAGCGGATGGACCCGCATGGGCGAATCATCATTGTAGGCGATGTGCACGGTGCGTTGCTGCATGCGCGGCTCGGTTGCATGGTGCTGTGTGTTTGCAGCACGCGTGTGAGGGGAACGTGAGAGGCGGCAGGGTGAGCAGGCGAGCGCGCACGGCGTGCACTGGGCGTGGGTGCAGGGCGGGCGCTGCATGCTTCCCGTTCTGTGCCGCACTGATCTTCGCCGTTCCTCAGCTGTTGTAGTGGCTCATGGATAGCAGCACGTGGCTCATGGGACGGCAGCAGGTCTTTTGCGTGATTGCAACATGTGATTCAGCTCCACACAACCCCATGAGCGAGTGTGTGCGTGCATGCGTGCATGTGAGCATGTGAGCAGGGTGCCATGCGGAGTTGGAGGCACTGATGGAGCGCTGTGAGCGCAAGGACGGGGACGTGGTGATACTGGTGGGGGACATGGTCAACAAGGTCAGCTGCCACGCCAAGCCACTCCACCCATCGTCACTCCGCGCTGCACAGTTCCTGCCCCAATTGTTCTTTCCCTCTGCTATCTCTGTGAATCGCCTTGTTCCCTGATCTTCATGTTGGGCCTTCAGGCCTTCACCCTCCTCTCCGCCCTCCTCTCCGCCCTCCTTTCCGCCCTCCTCTCCGCCCTCTCTCCGGCCTCCATGCGTCTCGTTCGCCTCCCTTGCTGCATGTGGTGGCGCCTCCCCCCTGTGTGTGCGTGCTGGCACAGGGGCCGGACTCGCATGCAGTGCTGCGCATGGCGCGCAGGATGGGCGCAGTGGCAGTGCGTGGCAACCACGATGACAAGGCGCTTGCCGTTGCTGCCGCCGCTGCCGCTGGTGGGATGCGCACTCCCACACCACTGCTCCCACACCAATTCTCGCACAGCACCAACCCGCACGGCAATCCCTTGCACAACACGCCCTCGTATTCCCACAGCAATGAGGCAAACCGTTAGGGAACGCGACAACCCCTCCTTGGTGTGCCTTAGCATTGTGTCGCCCATGCTTGGTGTCTGCTAATGTGAACCATTTGAACAACAGTTTTCACGAAAAGTGGCACATATGTGGCTGTTATTGGCCACGACAATGTAGTATTCTGGAGCCTCTGTGCATGGCATGCCATCCGTTGCCATGGCAGGCAAGTCGAAGCGGTGGCGCAACACCAAGTGGCCCAGTGACCTCTCGTCCACGGATCTTGACTGGCTCCTCTCGCTGCCCTTCTCCATCCGCATTCCCTCCCACAACTGCCTCGTTGTAAGTCCTTTCCACCACATGCCATCCGCCCTCTTTCTACCACAGTCATATCAACACAGTCGGTGCTCCAATGTTGATGCAACGGACACACTGGTGTACCTGCCATGTGGCTCTTGCACTATGTACTCCGCTATCATACATTGCTACCACTCTCTTCTCCTCTCCAACCCATCCGCTCTTCGGCTTGTGGTTGAGTTGTGTACGGTCATGTGCTGTGTGCTGCGCAGGTGCACGCGGGCCTTGTGCCCGGCGTATCTCTGCACCGCCAGCACCTCTCCCATCTGCTCAGCCTTCGCTTCATCCGCCGCGTGCCTCTCGCTCCCATTCCCCAGCACACCGCTCCCTGGGAGCCCACAGCCCGCACCCTCTCTGCACTCCTCGACTCTGGCAGCAGCAGCAGCAGCGGTAGCAGCAGCAGCTGGAGCAGTGGCAGTGAGAGTGAGAGTGGCAGTGAGGGGGCGCATGGGTGGCGGTGGCGCATGGCGAACTGGGGGGCGCCACCATGTGCAGGGGGCATGGAGTCAGGGCTCAGTGAGTGGGACGCACACGACTGGCTTGTGTCTGGGGGGGACAGCAGCAGCGGCGAGGGGGAGGAGGCCAATGGGTGGTCGCGGGGGTGGGGTTGGGAGGCGTGCAAGGCTGCAGATGAGGGGGCGGTGCTGTGGAGCCATGAGTGGCGTGGCAGGGAGCACGTGGTGTTCGGCCACGATGCCCTCAGGGGCCTGCAGAGGTCAGCCCTTGCTGTCCTTTCCAGGGTGCACTGAGGAAAGCGCATGTTCCCCTGTGAGTCAGTAGCGAAGCGAGAAACCTTAGGACGAGCGAGTTGCGGTGCTGGGCTCTTAACGTTGCACAGCACCTTCCTGTTCTGATTCTTCCTGCCTGCCTGTGCTGTGTGCAGGACTCCCTGGGCGACAGGGCTTGACACGGGGTGTGTGTATGGGGGGCGCCTCACAGCGTGTGTGCTGCCGTCACTTGCACAGCTGCAGCAGCTGACGCACGCGCGTGCAGCAGAGCAGCGCAAGGAGGGGCACAAAGGTGCGGTGCGCGTGTGGCCCATGCTGCAGATTGTGTCTGTGGCGGCGCAGTGGCAGTACGCCGTTCCCAAAGTCAAGGGGCGCAAATGACACCACGCACGCTAGTACGCTACCATCCTTGCCACTCTGTCGAGTAGCAGTCACGATGTCGAGGGAAAGCCATTGCAGCCTTCACCAGCACACTTCGAAGCAGGTTTGGTACGGGGTCGTTGGGATATTCTTCAGTGCTGCCCTGCAGTACCGCACCACCAGGCTCTGGTAGTGGTCTTCACATATCAGTATGCTAATTCATCAGCCATATGCTGACATTCACATGTGGTACACAAATTTAGGCATACATGTTCTCACTCCAGTAGGAAAAAAACTCTGGCCATTTCGGCTGTGAAACAAGTGTTGCGCCCAAAACATCTTTCTCCGTTACATGGTCACAGACATTAGCCATTGGAGGAACGGACATGCAAATGTTTTTCACACTTGTGATCACTGATGCACATTTTTTTTCCACTAAACTTTGTTCACAAGGATGTTCACACCTAAAACATGTGCGGTACTGTACGGCAAACAACTTTCCTTGTTGCCACAATGCCACTATATAATTTTCCCATAGAGATTCCAGAAAAATCAGATACAGTACCAAGTGCGATTTGTGAACCAAAATAATGCATGCACACTCAGCTCCAGTTGAAATCGGATTGCTGCACTGAACTCCCGAGGTAATAAAACGGTTGCTAGGCGTGCATACATCATGGTGTCTACTTGCATCTGCATTGAACGTTCTGTTCCAACAGGAAACGGTGTGCTTGCTTGCTCCTTCAGAAGATTCAATTCTCCACTTCCCCGTCCACCCCCCACCCTCCCCCCTCCCTTTACCCCACTTGCATCCAAGCAACGCTGCCCCCACCTCATACTTGATAGTTTCTTCAAAGGGTGCCCAGCTATTGCTGTGAATCCCCGTCCTCCTTACCCACCAGCACGTAGTCCCCTTCCCCCACCCCTTCTTGCCCCTCCTTGCTTGGCACCCTGGTGTCCAGGGGAAGCATCTCATCCACTGTAACTCCAGGAGCAATCATCCCAACAGCCCGCCAAGTCACTTCCCACAAACTCTCCGCTTCATTCTTCCCCTCACCTGCACCTGTCCCCTCGCCTCTGCTGGCACCCTCGCCATCTCGCTCCCGCTCGTCGCCAGCGCTGCCAGCAGGCCTGGCAGGTGTGGAAGCAGGGGGCAGCAGCACCCTGTGCTGGACCATGGTCTGCAGCAGCCCCCGCACCGCCTCCCCCACCTCTCGCTGCAATGCCTCCCCCCCTCCCAGTGCCGCCCTCACCTTGGCCTTGCTGCACCGCTCCAGGCGCTGCAGCACTGCCAGCCACAGCTGGCGTGGCGATGCAATGTTGGAGGCAGTGGCGGCCGCGTGAGAGGAGGAAGGGGGAGAGGGAGAGGTGGAAATGCTGTCAGGGGACGAGATGGGATGAGGGGGTGCGGTGGATGAAGAGATGGGGAGGAGGTGAGGCAGCAGAGAGAGGAAGGTGCAGGTGAGCAGCTTGAGTGCAAGAATGAGCGAGCCCTCCATGCCCTTGAACTCCCTTGGCTTCTCCCTCGTCGCCGTGTCCAGTAGCCCGTCCAGCAGTGGCACCACCACCTCCTCCAGGCACCGCACTCGCATGCGCACAGGCACACCCAGCCCAACCGCGCCCAGCACCACTTGCTGTGTGCCCGCAATGGCAGCATTGCGCACTGCCTCCCTTTGCTCAATGCCTGAACGCGCCACTACAGACGCCAGCTTGCTCCATGCATCCCACACCTCCTTCAACTGTGCCTCCCTTGCCTCCTCGCCCCCCTCGCCTATCTCCACCACCTCTTGCGCCGTGACCTCTGCCACGCACAGCTGCAGCGGGCGCAGCAGCCCCAGCAGCAGGTCCAGCGCCTTCACGGACCGCGCTGGCCCGCCTGCCCTCGACTCCACAAACTCCACCGCCGCGTCCAGGCATGGCAGCAGACTAGCAGGTAGCACAGAGCGCGCCCCGTCCTCGCTGCGTGTACGCGACATGGTGCGGTGCAGGGACGACGCGGTGGGCTGCATCGATGGTGCCGCACTGCCATCGTCCATGGCGAAGCGCAGCGCCTCAAAGCCCGCTGCTGCCGCGTCGGGGTGTCTGGCAGCCACGGCCAGCAGCGAGCACAAAGTGCGCCATGCAGCGGCGGAGCGGATGTGACCAGATTCGCGTGAGAGAGAGCCTGGAGATGCAGGGAAACTGCTAGGGAAACCGGCAGCCGTTGCCGTGGCAGCTGCTGTGGCTGCAGCGGCTGCTGCTGCATGTGCCTGCACGAGCAGGAGCAGCTCCTTGGTGATGCGCTCACACAGCACGTCTGCCAGGCGCGCATCCAGGCGCAGGATGAGGTGCAGCGAGCGCAGCAGCTCGTCCGCCACGTCCTCCTTGTACGGCACCAGGCGGCGGCACAGGCGCAGCAGCCCAAACACTGCCTTCTCCACCAGCGCCGTGGGTGCCGTGGCCGTCTCCACCACACCCGCCAGGTGGTCCGCCACCGCTGGCCACAGCAGCAGGATGCGGTCTCGGTTGGTCAGCGTCACCGCCACCAGCAGACTCAGGCAGAACACTGCCGTGTCCTCCTCGTCCGCCGTGCTGGCCCCCACGGCACCACTGCCCCCTCGCAGCGACCTGCCGGAGGAGGCAGCCCAGATGAGCGCCTTGGCGAGGTGCAGCAGGGAGTCGGCCTGCAGGAACTTGCTGTCAGCAAAGATGGCCTCAATGCGGCACTCCTCCATGGCGCGCAGCACCTGCCGCTGTGCCTCCACCACCTGCTGTGACGGCTGCTGCTCCTCCTCCGACTCCAGCAGGAACAGCTGGCTGAACCGAAGCATCAGCCCCCCTCCTCCACCCCATCCACTGCCGCCGCTGCCCCCTGCTTTGCCGCTGGCCCCATCGCCGTCCCTGTGCTGCATGGCGGCGCGAGTGGAGGTGGCGGTGGAGGCGTCCCCTGTGAACGGCAGCTTCACCAGCTCGTCCTGCCCCGCACCGTCATGTGCCGCCAGCAGCACGCGCACGGGCAGCAGCCCCAGCTTGTGCAGGCGCAGCACACAGTCCAGCACGTTGCGCCACCCCGTGCGGATGTAGTCCCCGTACCGGTTCGCCACTGTGAACACCGCCGCCGCCGCCATCGTCGCCTTCGCATCCTCTGCAAACGCCAACGCTGCCTCCTCCTCCTCCATCCCCCCTCCCTCATACCCTCCTGCCCCTGCTTGCCCCCCCGCTGCCCCCGTCCCCCCTGCGGGGTTGAGCAGCGTGGTGAACTTGCAGAGCGAGACGACGAGGTCGTCGAGGGCGTCGCGCATGCAGTGAGCGGCGCAGATCTTGGCGGCGTCCATGAAGCCCTGCAGGCACTGCCGCAGCACGTCAGGGGAGTCGCTGTGGTCGTACACCACACTCATGGCGGCGATGGCGGGCCCTGACACGGCAGCGAATATGTCATGGTCCAGCAGCGGCCGCGAGTCCCCACAAGGTACGTACGCCAGGCACGACGGCGCACGCCGCACTATGTCCATCCACCGGCTGTAGCTCATCTCGCCTGCTGCTCCACTACCCGCGCCCGACCCCCCCCCTGCGAGGCTGTCAGCGGAGACGCGGATCTCGTCGCGGGCGATGGAATGGTACAGCTCCGTGAGCATGTCGCGCGGCAGGTCGGTGCCGTCGTTGATCATGCGGTTGTTGCGGATGAACTCCTCCTCCGTCATCTTGTGCCGCACCTGCCCGTTGTGCTGGTCCGTGTTCAGCATGATCACCGAGTACGACAGGATGTACGCCGCATCACGGCTCGCCAGCACGTCGGGGCACTGCTCGTAGTAGCGAGCAGCAAAGGCCTCCAGCACGCGAGCAATCTTCTGCGCCTCCCCGGGCAGGCGGAAGCTCTCAAGGAAGGTGCGCAGGGCGCCATCCAGGGCAAGGCCGGAGAAGTCAAAGAGGCGTGCGAACTCGTGCAGCACGGCCACCTTGAACGGCTCGTGGTCGCCCAGATAGTCGCCCAGCACTCGCTTGCTCAGCCCCGGCGTGTAGCGGAAGAAGCACGCCACATTGCGCGCATCCAGCTCCTCGGGCAGCAGCTTTGCCGCCTGCAGGTACTGCAACCCCCTCGCTGGATCCCTGTTGAAATGCTCCGCCCCCTGCAGCAACCGCCGCTTCACGTGTTTCCTCGCCCTCACAAACTCCACCCACCGGCCCCAGTCGCCCTCCGCCTCCCACACACCCCACCCACCAACCTCAGCACGTGCACTGCTCTTTGGCCCTGCACCTGCGCCTCCTCCTTCGCCTACCACGCCCCCCTCCTGCTTGCCCGCCCCAGCGGCTCCGATATCGCCCCACCCTGCGGCAGCTGCTGCGCTGGTGGGCGGAGGAGGGCCCCACTGGCACGTCCAGAACTCCACCCCATCCGCTTGCCGCCCGCTACCGTAGCTGGGCGGTGCAGGGGGCTTGGGGGCGGGGCCGGAGTCAACGCGGTGGGCCATGTGGCGCAGCATCTCCAGCAGCCCGTCCAGCGCCAGTACATGCAGCGAGGTCAGTGGTGACGCCACGGGGAAGGCGCTTTTGGAGAGCAGCCCGCCCAGGTCCTCCAGCAGGTTGCTGCGGCTGATGTCACAGTCGAAGTTGCTGTACAGCTCCACTGCAAACTCCGGCAGCCGGCAGAAGTCCAGCAGTGCCTCCAGCGCTGCCTCCTGCTGCTGGAACGACACGGCATAGCGCTCCTGTGCAGCGCGCGCCAGCACCACGAGGAAGAACGCCTCGAGCTGCAGCTTGAGGTGGCGGCGCAGGCACAGGAAGAGGCGCAGCACGATGCTGCAGATGAGCGGGAAGAGGAGCGGGTTGGGCGAGGCTGCGAGCAGGAAGAAGGAGCGGAAGAGGTCGTCGGAGACCAGCGCCAGCAGGCGCGGGTGCAGGGCCACATGCTCGCCCGTGAGGTCCAGTGCCGTGCTGATGAGCTGCAGCGCGAAGAGAGGCATGTCCTCGTGTGCGTGCGCCCATGCGTAGGAGCGAGGGGTGCGCGGACTGGCAGCGCGAGGCGAGGCAACGAGGTTCTCCTC